ACTAACACTCCCATTCCGTCTATTGTTTTTTTTTTTACTCAGAGCTGCTTTCTGTACAGATTTTAACAGTTCAGAAACACATCTCAGTTTGCGCAAAAAAAACCCAAAAAAAACAATCCAAATACTACATCACTGTATTGTTGTCTTCCTCGCACTTTGCTGATTTGTTTTTCACTTCTGAACGCTCTTAGAAGTTCTAAAGCTGGCGAGACGTTGGGGAGTCGACACCGAACCTGAGATTAGAGGCTTTTGCTCGCAGCTGCAGTAAGAAACTTCACATTCAAACAGGAAACCCTTTTGAATGTTAAAATGTCAAATCCCACACCCAAAAAAATATATATGGGATGTGATTTTTAGAAAGCTGCGGAGTGTTTCAGAGAATGGCCAGACACTTTAAAACAGTTTATTCTGAAAAATAAAAATCTGTTACTTAAGGAAGGCTTGAAGAGGGGTTCTTTGTGAAAGGGGAAAAAAGTAAAAAGATTCTTAAGAAGGAAAATATTTATTTAGATGAAATGTAGGTTTTTAGCTACTTTATCAACCCTTATTTATTGTATTATTGTATTTATTATATTATAGTAATTCATTTTTTAACGCAATTTCAACTTCTGTGCTAATTAATGCTGTTACATAGATTTTGACAATAAAGTACACTTGAACTTGAACTTGAACTTGTTGTTAAACATTGGAGAAGCTGATGATATAAAACTGAATGATTTTAAATTGCTCAAGTGTAAATTAAATGATTCAACATATATGAATATATATAGGTGGAAAGATGATGTTTAATTCATAGTCCGACGTGTTAAAGTACATTTACTTTGAGTAATTCTTTTTTCAGAATCTGTAATTTTACAAGTATTTTTTAAATCGTAACTTTTACTTTTATTTTGTTACATCCAAAACATTAAAATGATACTTTTACTTCTTTAATTTAAGATTTAACACCTTGTTACATGTTGCAAATTTAAATATGATCAGAACTCATCATGAAAGGGGTTGTTTACACTCTAAAAAATGAAATGTTGAATTTACTAAACCAGGAAACCAGGTTTTTTAGAATGTGTAGAAATGTATTACTTTTACTCTCCCCATTATTTTTGAGAAGTTTTATGACTTTTACTTAAGTACGTTTTTTTTATCAGTGATATTTTTACCAAAGTCATTTTATATGACCATCTTTTTTCCAAGTCTGTAACCATTGTAAAGTTAGTCTTATAACTGCTTGCCTTTTTTTAATCACAAAGAAAAAACTTCACCACCCAAGTTGTTTTCTGCAAAAAGAACAAAMGTTTAAAAGAGAGGGTTCAGATAAACAAAAATCTTATCTGAAGGTGCAAAAACCAACTTGAAGCCAAGTTTAACTTCAGCTRTATGCTGTTCTCAAATGTATTTGTTCTTTTTTTAACCTCTGTGGAAGAACTGGCAGTCGGTCCAGGGTGGACCAGCAACCAGGCATCAGCTTCCCTGTGCCCCTGCCTGAAAAAGCAGGTGAAGAAAATAGATGGATGGATAATTTTTTTGACTTTTGCTATTGACCACATCTTCCAGGTGCAAATATAACACCTGGAAGATGTGGACACAGTCATCAGTTGGCCTGGTGGAGAGTGTAATATTTGAGATTGGAGAATAAATCATGCACTTTTTTAAACTTTCTGTACTGTAATTCTCTGTCTGCACAATACTTAACCACTGACTAAAAAGCACATCTTAACTTTTGCACTTTTGCACGTATGTGTGAAGCAGAAGAAGCCTGGATGAAATCTAAACTGAAGGAAGTAGCTGGAAGCTTTAAGAATCCAAGCTGCATCAAAACACAGATTTTCATGGGTTTAGTTTCTTTCTGAGGTTTTAATATTTATTTAATTAGTTTCAATTGACACATCACAAAATATTGTCAAGGTGTAATTTTCAGCTGATTGTCCTGCATTGTCCAGCCAAACGATAACCCATGGTAAAATGGCCTGAGCTGCAGCCGCAAGAAAACAAAATGTGGGTCTAAATAACAGACTCCTGATTATCACCAGATCTGTTTGTGACACTAATTATTTCCCATAAACTGCTCTGGTCTCTACAGAAATGAATTTGCTGCACCTGGGCTTTGTACATCAGCAGCRTTTTCAGGGCTCTCAGCCCAGCAGGTTCCACTTCGCCATCGCGACCACACGCTACAGCGCCCTGAATTGTAAATCTGGTCCTCGGTGTTTCCCAAAGTGTGTCAGGTGGAGTTAGCTCGGCTGCCAGTGAGCTGAGGACAAACCTGAGAGATGTGGCTGAATTCGGGAAAGTGGAGCAGAGCGTTAATTCGGGCAGAGCGCGGCAGTCGTGTTTGCGATGATTTATTTGCATCATCTGGTTTATTCATTTGTCACAATCACCGTCTCATTCACAGCCGACTAGCAGAAAGTAATGTGCAGTCGCATTCACTCAGGTGAAGAATGAGATGATACTTCTCACTGTTTCACTGCTGATGTGTTTGTGCCGGTCGTGTCTGTTGCTGCACCTCAAACTTCTCACTTTCTGCCATGTTTTACCTATGAATAATTCATTGTTGGTGTGTGTTCACTCTTTTCAAACAGCATTATTCATATTTAAACAAACATCCCACCGTCTGTAGCATTAATTTTGAAGTGGTAGTTTAATGAAACGTAATAAATTTGCTCCTGACCGAAGCGTACCCTCTTGGAGTCCTTGTAGGAAGAGTGTTATATAAATTGGACAGTTTTCTACGGTATGTGTTGGCATAGTTTAACTTTTTAGCATCTTATGTGACGCTAATTACCTTTCAGAGATGTTTGCAGCCAAGTGGCACTTTGTGCAACCTTAAAAGTAAACAAGTTCCGTGAATCTCCTCTTGCTTTGTGCTTCCTTTTTAAACACAAATACTGAGAATGTGTGCAGAAAAAAGAATCATAAAGATCCATATTGATACGCAGAGGTTAAAAAAATGAGTCACATTGTAAAATCTTTCCTTTATTGTGGCATAAATCACACTGAAGCTTTTCCTRTGCACTTGAGTATCTGTAAGTGTTAAAAGGGGCCACACAGAGTCTATTCATTTCTATTTTCAGAATGCCAATTATTGTGCACAGCAGCAGCTTTGGCTATTGAACCGGTTTAAGTCAAACTGTTGTAATACATTATTATCTGTTTCAACCCGGAGTGGTGAGGAGATTCTCGCTGCTGGATTTTCATCAAAAGAGATAGCCCGCTGAAAATGTAATTCACTGTTTTAGTATAAATCAATAAGCCTCCAAAATCTATTCTCTCATTCCCACCTTTATGCTAATATGGAAGAAATTCTCAAATGGTACTTTAATTCACCCCGCAGGCTTTCCGAATGTTTAAYAGCCCCGATTTCATCTATAACTGCCCAATTGACACTTAAATTTCAAGCCCATCTTAATTTGGCTTYTCCTGATGATTTTCAGTTTTGCTCCTCTGTGAAGTCGACGCCACAGTGACCCATTTTAATAGAAATTCATAGGCTTTTGCCATCTGACAGTAATCTTCTCCTATTTGGAATTATACCCCATTTGGTCATTATTACTACTTCCTCCCCCACATAAAATAGAAAAGTGATCATTGTACGTAATGCGGTACTCTACGTGTTTCAGCGAATCGACGAAAAACACGTGAACGAACGCGTAAAGAGCATTTAGAGTGAAAGCTAATTTTTGTGTTAGAGGTTTAGAGGACATTCAGACGGATTTGATGTGGGGGTGGGGTGGGGGTGGTGTAAATCCTGATGGACTCCCATCCAAGTGTGTTCATTAATCATGCGTCTCATTGGCGAGGCTCTGATTTGCCGCTGAGACAGATGAAGATGAACTCAGCAATATATTTCTCATCATAACACAACCCGCACATAAATATTAATAGCATATTTTCAGCTGGTGGGCATGAATCATTTCTTAGACAGGGAATTTTAAGAGCTATCCATGCGTGTCCAAGAACAGTACATAGGCGAGCGGTTGGGATAAACAACATTGCTTTAAGGCAACACGCTGAAGAGAGAAAAAAAACTGAACTGAGCCGCGGATTCAAAATGTCTCTATTTTGATTTCTTGAGGCAAAGTCCATTTTTAATAGCTGACCTTTCGGTTTGTCAACACAAATATTTTAATTGAGCGAGCCGCTGTTATCGCTGTCGGTTTCCCCGTGAAACTGTTAGAGGAGCTGTCACTTTGTCTGCACCGTGTCTTAGTTCTGTTAATATTAATATTGTAGATTTGAGACGTTGAATGAAAAGATTTATATCAACCTTTTATCGGTTTAAATTAAGTCAGGTCAACAGACAAGAAAATAACAGAAAGTAGCTTAAAAAACAATTTTTAAAAAACTGCACACATTTTATAACTAAAGAACTTCAGAACCACCTACTGTAGAAGTATTTCTTTAGTAAAACAGAGCATTTTGATGAAGGAGCTTGGTTAGACAAATAAAGTACTCCGAGAGACCACTGGTGGGATTTTGTGGTGATTATTCTGCAGACCGACACAACAAATGAACCAAACACGTAAAACTTTTGTTAAAATAAAGCGATCATGTCGTGCAGGTTTTACATGTGAAGTGTTTGCCCCTGCAGATGGAAGTATTGTATATTWTTTTTGTCCCATTTTGCCACTTAGGTATGTTGCTTTTGCGTTTCACTTCATTAGTCAGACATGCCAGCAGTTTTCTGTTTTTAATAGATCATTTAGAACTAATCAGCAGCAGAACGAAATGTTGTTTTTTTAACATGGTATATGTGTAACTTTTAACAACCTGCAAAGACGAGTCCATCTCATTCTCGTTTACACTCCATGTTTATTATACATTTATTGTTTTTGTTAGCTTTTTATGTGTGTCCATGAAAAAAAATGCCTTACAGTTTTTRACCTGAACTGTTTTCATCAAAATACCTGTTTATTCTGTTCAGAGAAGAGTTGTCATGATAGATCACTTATAGAGTTTTGTCCTTACTGATGTGATGGTTGTGAATATTTCTGTCCTTGCAGGTGTATGACCATCAGTACAAAGCTGTTGTGGACGGTGTGGAGACAGACAGCCTGATGCAGATCGACCCCATCGGCCATGTTGAGATCTTCAGGATGGGAAACGGGAGTCAGGAGGTTGTCGAGGTTCATGACTTTAAGAATGTGAGTAAACATCTAACAAGATAGTTTTGAGCAGCTGGAAACTACCTCCAACACACACCCCACATGCCACACACTGCACAACTTTGCTTCAAACATTGACCTTAATTATTCAAATTAACACTGCCTGTCTGCTAGTGAAATATCTCGTGAAATACTCTATAAAATTCAGTGAAACTAAGTAATCAGTGAATATAGATCTGGAGCTCACTGTATGAATGCTATGAAAGATTCACAGTATTGAGATCTTTTTCATTTTTTATTTATTTATTTTTTATTTATTTATTTATTTTTGCTTCTGTATGTTTTTCGACACACAAGTTGTTTCGTAATTTTTGTGTTATTTCAAAAATTCATGTATCAAAACATTCAGCTCCTTCAGGACATTCCAGCTATGACTTTTGGTATTTCAGGAATTTATACTTTTGGAGATATTCAGCTTTTTCCAGCCATTTTTTTTTCTTCTTGAAAATGAATGGTGTGGTCTTCAGCATCCTTGAAATTCTTCAGAACGCTGATAAGTCTTTACTGCCCTTTTTACTTGTTCTGGTTCTGCTTTTTTGTTTACTTTTGTGTGCTAATGTCAGAATCATTCGGCTTTTATGTTGCGGATTTTCACTTCTTTTTCTTTCTTTAGCYATCATTCTGACATTTTCTGTTATTCTTCTGCTATTTTCAACTTCTTTTGCTACTTTAAACTTGTTTTGTTTCTTTCTCTTTCTTTCTTAAGCTTTTCCTGCCCCTTTTCAGCTATATTTCTACTCCTTTTACTTTTTTTTATCTGCAAATTTTTGCATTTTTCAGCTGTTTTCTGCTCTTTGAAGCTTTCATTTTCACAGTAATTTCAGCAATCATTCAGCTGCTTGTGGGTTCCACCTCAACTGTTAAAATTCAGCAARCATTACTAGGTCATCCTTTAAAAACATTTCAGCTTCTTCAGCAGCTTTCAGCTAAATTATTTAGCTATAAGCTAACAAAGAAATGACAGCTGCTGAGCAAGTTTTTAATCCTCAACACATATTTTGAGCCCTAACACACAAGAGTTCACAGTATTGCACAGGACTGATCTGTTCCTTCTCATCATAACACAATTTTGAGTCCAAACATCTGGCATGAATAGCAGCAGGTGACTTGCATTCCTTCAAGGAATGCTAGACCTTTAATTTCCTTTTAGTTCTTTCTCCTTTGTTGCCCCAAATTGGAAAAATGTTTCGAAAAAACCTTTGAATCACCCCTGAAACTGAGTAACAGATTATTCGCTCCAACAGMTTCACATGCATTTTTCTTTACAAACACTGTACATGAACATCAGTAATTGATACTGCAGCAGCAGGAGAAGTAAAGATTTATGTGCGTTCAACAGCCTGGAGAGAACAATCAGTCTTACTAAAAAAAAAGTGCTTTCTTCCAACTAATTCCATACAGTAACTTCCTCACAGAACCGAGACAAACACCATTAAGACCTTCCCTGCTTGTTTCCARCACTTTTTTTTCAGCTGCTATTTTGTCTCCAGCACAACTCATTAACTTACCTTTCATTCCCAAACCCTGTTTGAGTGTGCAGGAGCTTCCACTCTCCTCCTCAGAGGAAAAAAAAACACGACGTGTGCTGCATGACTGGGTAATGAATGTTTTTACTCTCACACCATTATTTACTGTGAAATGTGAGGTTGCAAGGCTCGATGTTACAGGATAGTCTTCATTTTAAACAATAGCATACACTGATCACTGTTTGTTTTTTATACAAAAGTCTTTGTGATTCTGAGGTGAATCGATGATGGAAGAGCTACAGAGGAGAAACTTTACTTTCTGGAAATCTATCATCCTCACCAAGAAGGCAAATAAATGTGTTTGTGGCTGGTTCACACAAACACACACACAAACACGCATAAACACAGGCGTGTCCCAGGTCCTATTGTACTTCCTCAAGGAGATTTGTTTGATTCGGTGCTCCGCTGTGGAAAACTAAAGTAACAACAGACTGAGCAGAGTAATTCAAACCTTGTTTTGACCAAAATAAATAACATTTTTGGACTAAACTTGCAGTAGGTTTTACAGAGTTTGMGCTTGTGCACGTTTGCTTTGAGTAAAAAAAAAAGTTATTTGCTACAGAAACCAAAATAAAAGAATTGTGCCACACAAAACCTGTTTTGTTGCCAAATTAAAGACAGATGAACTCACTTGACATTTTCTTCTTCAAAAAATCTGAAACAATAAAAACGTTCTAACGTTCACTGTGCAGTTTCAAAATGAAGAGCACAGCACTAAAGTCAAACAATAATAGAAATAGGATTCAATATAGATGAAAGAAATATTTGAGTTTGTTAAAGAGAGAGTTCAGATCTCTTGAGGTGAGTTTCTGTGGATAAATTATGAACCGTCAGTATCTCATCTGTTGCAGATAGCTGTTTGAATAACTTAGTTTGGATAAATTGTTTATTCTGTTCAGACTAATGAGATTATGAGCAGCTAAAAACCTTCTACGTTGTTGTGACCTCAGTCAGACTAGCCTGATATTCATCACAAGAGAAATGAACTTTATACCTAAACTTCACTATCCCTTAACAATTTTTGGAACTTTAAAGGGMTCCATGATTAGTTGTAAYATTAGACTTTATTTGATAAACATATATTTTAACTGTAAAATAAAGACTGTAAAAATACTGTAGCTGTTTAGTTTTTATCATCTTTAAACTAAAAGTTTAAAAATATATTAGATGGACAGGGCCATTTTATTTACATGCAAAGCATTCTGGGTAAATGATGACGTGGATAGGTCATCGGTGAGAGGCTGCTAGCGAGCTATATCCACCCTGAAGGTAAATCTTGGACAAAATCTGATGATCGACTCTTTTAAATGAAATGAAACCAGAGAGCGTTGACAGAGAGGAGAAGGTAGAAATGACTCAGTCTGTAACTGAAAATATGGACGGAGGACAAAAGAGCTGCTTCATGGAAGAAGAACCTCAGCTTAGCCTGTTAGCTTTAGCATTAGCCCCGACGCTATCACCATATATATGTATTAGCTCAGCGCTACACATTCTCCTCTCGTCACTGAGGTCCTCCATCCACATGACAGAGAGGGGAACACAATGCTAACGCCAAGCTAATACATATAAGGCAATATAGCATCGGTGCTAGCGCAAACACTAACAGGCTAAGCTGAGGTTCTTCTTCCATGAAGCAGCTCTGTTGTCCTCCATCCATATTTTCAGTTACAGGCTGAGTCATTTCTACCTTCTCCTCTCTGTCAACGCTCTCTGGTTTCATTTAAAAGAGTCGATCATCAGATATTGTCCAAGATTAACCTTCAGGGTGGATATAGCTCGCTAGCAGCCTCGCACCGATGACCTATCAATGTCATCATTTACCCAGAATGCTTTGTGTGTAAATAAAATGGCTCCTTCCGTGTTAAAATATATTTTTAAAAATTTACTAAACTAAACATCCTACAGTATTTTTACAGTCTTTATTTTACAGTTAAAATAAATGTTTATCAAATARAGTCTAATGTTACAACTAATCGTGGATCCCTTTAAAGAAGAAACATTTAGCCTTTTTTAGAGATTAAGAAACCTCTGAAAAGAATTTAAATATATAAAAACATGAGCATTCTTTGTGATGCTGCTGATGTAAAACAGCCTTCTCTTTTTGTTCACAATATAAAGAACCTCCATTTGACTTAAAGACTTCATTTGTAACCCTTTCTTACATGAAAAAGAATAGAGTCAAAAATCACGGTGGTTACACATAAGAACATGAACGGGCATTATTTTTTATGACACAAGTTTAATACAAATCACTCCATGAAATGTTTTTTTTTTTTTTTTTTTTTGTGCAGAGTGATTTTTCTGCTTTCCCTTTTATTTTTGCGTTGCAGACAGAGGTGAACATGTCATCCAGCATGAAATATATTTTTACTATTATAATGTCTTTTCTCTAAATATCACTATCTCACAGCAGTTTCTTTTTAAATCTATCCAATCCAAAACAAAGACCCTTCAGTCTTCAAGTTGTTTTTTTAAAGACATCGTGTAAAAAGGTTGCGTCTCAAGACAGGATTTAGCCGATTATATTTTGAGCCAGTAAAACTCAGCTGTCGTTTTGGTTTCGCTCTTGGGTCAAACATTCTTTGTCTTGATAAATGACATATCGTCACCTTTCTTAAACTTAGGTTTAAGAAATCCTGCTTGTTGTGGATTTTTGTTTTCTTAAATACACAAAAAGAAAATAATATTTTGTTGGTTTTAGCTGGCTCSGGCAAGAAGAAATGCAGAGAAAGCACTCCTGGACTGTACCTTACATCTTTGTACAAGTCCCCGCTTGTCATTATACAGAACACGTCTAAAATTTCCTCCAAGCTAAAAAAAAACTAAAATGATTGGCAAGGCTGGAATAAAACTGTGTTTGTGATTAGATGTCTTTCTGAGTGAGGAGACMTTTTGCCCTTAACATCACAAGCTCCATTAAGTGTACACATGCATCTCTGTACGGGCGTCTATGACAGCTTTGTTGTTGAGGGATTTCGGTTGCAGTGGCCACTTTAAGTTTGACCTCTGGTCCCCGTTTGACCCCTTCATACATGGAAAACCTCCCAACAAAGCTGGAGCTGGAGTGTTGTGTTGACTACATATAACGACTTTAAATAAAAACAGTGACACTTTTGCACTCCCACTCAAAGTTTCTGGCTCTGAGTAGCAGGAAAGAAAACGATTTGCAAGGAGAATGAAATTAGTTATTCTTTTCAAAGTTTGAGTTGACTTTTCCTCACATGATGGAAAAAAAGAGACTACAATACAAAACAATGAGCATATCACAGTTCTTTTTTAAGATATGAGTGCTTGATTAGCTTGTTAAGATTTTGGCTGACCTCATTTGGAAAAGTCAGGTGATAAAAAATTAACAACTGTATAAATATCTGATCCCTTAAACTTTGTCCTAGCAATCAGCAGCCATGAGCCCCCTCTTAGCAGCACCCTACTATTACGAAAATTAAAGTCATC